AGGAAACAAACCTTCAAGACCCCGGCCACACAGCCCGGAAGACCCACACCAGCCATCGTATGCCGGCCGTAAAAGCCTTCGACAATACAATATCCCAAAATTTTGTGCCATGGGGAAATCTGTTGAAAATCTGACAGTGGTCTTTGGTTACTTTCCTTAATGCTTTTGTATGATACTCCCTTTAATCTACATATATAAAATATATTGGTCTGTTAGTCTCTGCTTTAGTGAGCCAAGCTGTCAAACCTCAAACTACTGAAAGCCTGTTTGTTTGTTTGCTTAAGGTGATATCCATGGACAATACTATGATTTACTGCGGCTATTTGAATATGGTGGTTTTCCACCAGAGAGCAACTATCTATTTCTTGGGGACTACGTTGACAGAGGGAAGCAGTCTTTAGAAACAATTTGCCTCTTACTGGCCTACAAGATAAAATATCCAGAGAACTTTTTCCTCCTTAGAGGCAACCATGAATGTGCTAGCATTAATAGAATTTATGGCTTCTATGATGAATGTAAGTACGTGTGGGAATGTGTTTTGGATTTTAGGAAAGAATTATGGGATAAAATGTGCAGTCATTTTTACTATAAGATGATCTCTATCCTTAGAGGGAATTGTGCATTAATAGGGTTGCATAGTTGAAAAGCTTCTGGAATAAGGTGAGGTGTAACATCTTTGTTCTTTCTGTATCACCCTGAAGGCCCTCTGTTACAAAGGAAGAAAGTAAACCAAATAACGCTCCTTTTCAGAAATGAAATGCGTAATGCATTTTCAGCCAGATACTGCTCTACCAGTCACCACTTAAATGTAAATCAAACTCATTTTAAAAAGTTGAGCTTTTTCCATTTTAAATCTACAGGTACAAAGCATATGTTTCTTTTCAGTATGGTACTTGGATATGACCAAGGTGCTAACTGGATCTTTGGCAGGGAGGAGGCATTTCAGAATATATTCTTAAACTTGTTGGATGAATATGAGTCCAATAATTTTCTGATGCCAAGAAGTTTCAAAATCTCTTTCGGGGGAAGCTTTTCAAAAGTAAAAAAGGTTGTCTTTGTGATTTATTGGCCCCACTCCAGGGAAAAAAGAAATAGCTGGATACTGGGCCTCAACCCCTGGACACGCTGTGTTAAAAACGTTCCGTGATACCTGTGGGTCTAGTCAGCCAGAAGTAATTGTGTGAGATGTAGAAAGGAGATTGTCTTTTTATTCCCCCTAAACTAGTCTCCTCTGTCCCACTTGGTTTTGAAATGGCTTCATTGGCTGATTCACTTTCCCAGGTAAAAGAAGATATAACATCAAGCTGTGGAAAACATTTACAGACTGCTTCAATTGCTTACCAATTGCAGCCATTGTGGATGAGAAAATATTTTGCTGCCATGGCGGTAAGTAATTCCAGATGCTATCTTAGGCCTTATAATTGATCAGAGCTGAATTTCAGGGTGTGTTTAACACTTGAGATATTCAAAGATAAACCCAGCATTTCACTCCTTAATCATAGCTAGCTTGTGTAATGGAAGCTTATGGGTGGCAAGGTTTGGGGGCCACCAGTTTAGATCAAGAAGCTGGCTTACAATTATTTAGCTATCCCTTGATTTTGTAGGAAGACTGCTGAATGTTTTTTTGATCAAAACTGGTGTGAAGAAATTACATGCCAGAGTGGACCCAGTTATCTCTCCTAATTACTATGATGACAACAGCAGCAAATTAGTGGGGAAATGTATTGATTAATCTGTCATTAGAATAAGGTGGTCCTGCTTGCTGTGAAGGGGTGAGCATGGTACAGGTTAAGATACCAGACTTCTGGAATCCATGTTGCTCTTTTTCAAAGCAAGGTGGAAAAACGGCCATGAGGTGATGGGGACAGGCTTTTCTGGGTGCAAAGTGCCTTTTGAATATCTGGACCAAGAAAGTTCTGTGAAAGCTAATGCTGTACGTGTGGGTGTCTGTGTGGCTGTCTGTCTATCATGAATGGATAACTACAGGTTATATAGACAATTCCTGCTGCCTATAGTATATAAATACTTGTGCTCAAATAGTCTAGCATTGTGTGAACCCTTTAAATGTTTGGTCTTGCCATTCTTGCCTTATAATCTAAACATCTGCAGTATGTTTAGAGGCAGAAACCTCAAGCTTGCAATGTTGGAGGATGTGAGTGGGAAGCTACGGCTGAACAGACGTGAGAGGAAAATGTTTTGGCTTGGCAAGGGCAGGTCACTCTTTAATTTGAGGCAAGTGCTCTAAACCAAAGGGATGTCTATTTTTTGAGCAGTTTATTTGGCCGTAGTGGTGATTCTCTAGTTCTGGAAGGGGCTGGGACTGTGTGTGTATGTGTGGAATTACGCCTGTGGTCTTCCTAGCATTGGATCCAGGTTTAGTTCTATTTCAACTAAATCCATTTAAATCAGTGTTACTCATCACTTAAGTTACCAAATCACTCTGCTGAATCCATCTGAAGTCTGACTAAATCTAGATACATTATCCAAGAAATGGGAGCCTCTTAAGGAATTATTTTAATTCCTCAGGGCATTGCCCTTCTGGCCATGTTCTGGCAGTGGAGCCTCTCTTACCGTGATCCTGTATTGTGCCCATTGATTGAGCATCGCCTCTTGGATAAAGTTGGCTAGCTGCTCTTCTTCGGAAACGTGGGTGAAGCTGCCAGGGCAACAGGTCTCATTCCTCGTGTGCTTCCAACATTGTGGTTGCCTTCATCTCCCATATGAGCCAAACACAAGCCAGCTGCATCTTAATCCTGCACAGGCTTATCACCAGATCTCCAATCAATGGAACAAATCCGACGAATTATGCGACCCACGGACGTGCCAGATCAAGGCCTCCTTTGTGATCTCCTGTGGTCTGACCCTGACAAGGATGTGCTTGGATGGGGTGAAAATGACAGAGGGGTTTCTTTTACATTTGGAGCTGAAGTGGTTGCAAAGTTCCTTCATAAACATGATTTGGACCTTATATGCAGAGCTCATCAGGTAGGTGAAGACCAGATGTTAGAAAATGATCCTGTCCACCTCTAGCATCAGAGTAGCTGCTTGATTTTAGGAATTCTCTGCCTTGCAGATTGGGCCTCCTCTCTGAACAGAGTAAGAATTTCACATGATTTGATAGAGAAAGAAATAGGCCCCAGAGTATGAAAGCACAACCATAGCAAATGTTGCGTAGATCAACAAGCCACTGTTCTTCGTAGCCCTGCCTAAAACATCCAACAGTTATGTAGAATAGCTAACGTGATTTTGGCGCTTGTTGGCAGCTGGTATTATCCCTGTATTGTTTTGCCCAAAACAAATAATGCAGTTTTCTGCTTTCGTGTCCTACGATATTTCCCACCCTATTAGTACCAACAGAACTCTCTTTACTTTACAGGTAGTTGAAGATGGATATGAGTTCTTTGCAAAAAGACAGCTGGTAACTCTGTTTTCTGCCCCCAATTACTGTGGGGAGTTTGACAATGCAGGTGCTATGATGAGTGTGGATGAGACTCTAATGTGTTCTTTTCAGGTAAAGTATCTGTCAAGCCCTAGGTGCTTTGCTTTCCCCATTAATTTGTTTTTGCTCAATTATGGTTTTCTTTCAGTAAACCTTCTGAGCTATGAGCGTTAGCTATTTGAAGATGCGCTCTGTCTCCTTTAATCTGTGCTGAGCTGCCAGCCTGCCATAATAGAAATAAGGCAGCCTTAATATATTCACCTTGAGCTGGATTGTCCAGAGAATCATTTCTCTCCCTGCTGCTTTGTAAAGTGGCGTTTTGAGAGGAAGTATGAAACGTCGCAAGCTGTGGGAGGAACATCAGAACTGCATCTGAGTTCAGGTTCGTAGTGCTGATCTTGAAAGCCCAAACCACTTTTGGCCTGAGATATCCTCCAGCATCATCCCCTGGCTGTCTTCTAAACTGGAGCCAGACAGACTTTCATGAGGAACAGGCCTCTTCGGGCTATGTCTGCTCTGTTGCCCACGCTTTCCCTCTGCGGCTGTGTAACTCCGTCTGTATGGTCCGAGACCACTTTGTTCCATGAAGTCCTTAGAAGATACTTTCTCTCCTGCTGTAGCTTAGGGAATTGGAATGAAGTGCGCTGATCTTTAAAAAGAGAGAGGGAGGGAGGGAGGGAGGGGGAGAGAGAGAGAGCGCACAAGCCTAGTCCGTTCTGTCTTCTGTGGCTTGAAATGATAATTTAGCCATATATTTTCAGGTTTGAGCGTACCATTGTAACTCTACCTGTGTGCTTTCCTTGTAGTCCCTCTTAGCCGTGTGCACAGCTGCCTGGCATCACTTGCTAAATCAGCAAATTGTCATTCCAGATCCTGAAGCCTGCTGAGAAAAAGAAGCCCAATGCTAGCCGACCCGTAACGCCACCCAGGGGTATGATCACAAAACAAGCAAAGAAATAAGCGCTGTTGGGCCTGCCTGGTTGGGACTTGTACTATAGTATATAATCTTCATTTTTTAAAAAAAACGGTAACGTGTATCAGTCAGCTTGCTAAGAGTAGACTTAATGTGTTGTGGTTTTCTTTTTGGTTCATTTTGATGGATGGCATTTGCTGGATGTAACAGCAAATGAGACTTTCTCCCTTCTGAAGAAGAGTTTTAAAAAAATTTGGTATTCATTTGGAGAGAGAGGAAAAAACACCTTTTTTGTTATTGATGTTCCGGCTGTACACTTCACAGCACCTATCCTGCCATTCTGGGTAATTGTATAACTGAATCCTTGAACCTGTGGAAACCAGGTGACGTGCGATGCCTGTTTTTATTTTAGGAGCGAACAAGGCACCAGCGTGCCATGAGACTAGGAAACGTATGACTGTCAAATTACATACTGTTTATACAATTCACTGTGAAAGCTTTTATTTTGTTTTAAAGGGTTTGCATTTTCCTTGTCATGTACATGAGTCCTGTTGTCGGCTTTTTGAATCAACCCTCAACTTTTGCCAGCTTCACTAGTATGATGTCTGTTTTAATTGGAGCACACTTCCCTCCCATATACTTTGAAATCACAATTAAAGCCATTATTTTAAGGCTGTGTCTCTGTGAAATCAAAGTGTGTAGGGGAAGACCTGTCAGCACAGCCCATAGAGATGCACTGGTATCTAAGCTGGGTTTTTTCCTCTGCAGGAAGGACGACTTGAACTAGCAGAGTAAAGCTGTGATCAGCTGGAGTACAGGATTAAAGACTTTGATACTTCCCCTATATTCAGTGTCGAAGCGTGCTACTGTGCTCTTTTAGCCAGTTCAGAAAGGTGTAACATGTGAAGAGACTTGCCTGAGAATTAGAATTACTTTAGGTTTTATTTGCATCTTGAAGACTTGCTCTACAAAGCTTAGAAAACCACCAACTACAGCAGTGAACCAATGTTCACCTGTTTCTATGACTCAGTTTCTTGTGGTTTTTTGTTTTGTTTTTAAAAAAAGAACTGTAATCTTTTTGAAGAGATGACAGTGTACAATACAATGTGGTAAAATGCCTATTAAATGAGTAACTTGTTAAATCTTCTTGGTGTTAATTTTATCAGCATCGCATATGTGAAGAGTCGTGTGAAATTCCCTCTCCCCCCAAAAATTGTATCTAAAGAGGTGAGAACTGAGCAAATGGAACGGAGGATCCCTTTCCGATGGCCACACGGTGCCCAATAAGGGCTCAGGCATTTTCCTTGTAGGGCAAGCAAGTTTTGTGTTTGATGGAAGGCAGGGAGACCCGGGGCCTTTTCTGATCCAGAGGTGATCACAGTGGGGAAACCAGTCCACTTTTGCAAGCAGCGTCACCTGCAGCACTGCGGGTCTGGTCAGGGTGGAAGCGCTGGGTGGGCGGAAGACTTCTCCAGTGTCCCATTTAGAGGATCTGCTTGTCACACTCGAAAAGGTGATCTCTGCCAGAGGGAGCCATCGCATAACTCTGTATGCAAGCCAGTAGAGTCCATGGTGCACTACCCTCAATGGGTGTGACAGCGGAAGCAGCAGGGGTTTGTAAAACGCACGACCGTAGCTGTTCAGTGGTTACAGAAGGTGCCCCGGGGTGCTATGCGCTCGATGGCCTCTTGGGTGGTCCTGGGTATCTCTATACTTACTGAAGACTTCTTGGCTTACAAATCAAAGTAATAATGGGGCTAGTGGTCCTTAACTAGTGCAGCACAAGCACACACGGGTGGGGTTAGAACTAATGGGGGGTTGAGTCAAAGTGGGTGGAAGAGCCACCCACTGAGCCTCCTCCCCAAACAGCTGTGCCCACCCACTTTGGAGATGCCAGGCTAAAGGTGCCATGTCAGAGTGCGCACATACATGCAGCCCCCAAACCACGGCGGGCTTGCTTTGGCTGGCTCGGGAACCACGGCTTCACAGCGTAATGTGCGAAGCAGGCCTAACCCGAGTCCAGCGGAAGCTGGCAACCCCTTCTCTGGGGATGCGGCTGAGCCACCAACTCTCTCCCAGCCGGGCTTCGTGCATTTTTTTTAATTGGTCCAGTCGTCCGATTCTCGGAGGCTGCCCGGACGAGCCCCAGCGGTTTTCTCGCCATTGCCTCCTTCCCAGGGCTGCGAGGGAGGGACTGGCCACGGGCGCCCAGCTGGCTTTGCGCCTAGGCGGGCCGGGAACTCGCCGTCCC